TGCCGTGCTTCATTTGCTTTCCAAGCCGGCGTGGCACCTTCCTCCGGCGATCGTTTTCCGCTGATCTGCTGGCGCCATCTGTGGGGCGCGCGTTTTTTTTTTCTCGTTGCGCAACCGGTGAGAAATGAACATCCCCGTTTTCTTTTTTCTTCCCTTCCCGTTCACCTTCTCAAATTTATTTCGTTAGCTTATTTTGTTTACACCTTCGGCTCTCGCATATAACCCACATTGATGCGCTGAGACGGCATTCGGGTCACTTCGATCAGCGCGGTCATTACGGCAATATCAAATAGGCAGAAAAAAAGACACAGTTTCCCAAAGTGTGCCGCCCTCGTGTGCGTCATCAACCTGTATTCGCCCTTTTCTTTTTTTAAGCCGATCCCAGTCGACGAGAGCGGGATAAGGTCAGATAGACCCGCTGGCCTGGCTACTTGGTTTCGTTATTTTCCACTTTCTTTCTCCTGGTTGAAATGACAGCGCCAACCACAGTTGGAGCTCCTGCGCAGATTATTTTTCAAGCGTGGGCAGCATCACATTCAGCTCACGAACAAAAAGAGAAAAAGTCTTTTTATATAAAATGTTGACAAGGTGTCACCACCTTTTCGGATATCTTCTGATATGATGACCCTAACCTTATTGCTTGGTATCGGCCTTCAGAAGAGTAGTTTAGAAAAAGAAAGCCTTTTTTTTTAAATGTTCAAAAAGTGTTACCATGCACCTCTTCGAATATCCTCTGATATTACGACCCTAACCATAATGCTTGGTATCCGCCTTCAGAAGAGTAGTTTACAAAAGAAAGAAAGCCCTTCGAATTCGCTATGTAAAACTTTTTCAACTGATTAAATTACAAATATCAAGATTACTCAAAATGTGCCTATCTTGCAACCAGTGCCAGCAGTTATCAATACCGATCCTAATGCACGAAAAGAAAATCGCCCGCAGCAACGTAGGGGTATATGGGGTCTGTCCAGTGGAGCTATAGATCTAAGAGTTGTGCAGTGAGCTAAGAGCCCTGTTAATTAAGAGGCAGAAAACGAGCTATTTTACTGCCCTCTTCAATCATTTTTTTCTTTGCTCGTTCCAGCGAGGTGTCTCACTTGAAGTGCATCTTTGTAGTCTCAGCTTCACCAGCTTGTTGAAATCGACCGCGCTTGTGTAGATTATCAGAACACAGATGCCATAATGGCGACACACCCGGTTCATCTCTCTGAGAAGTTTTTTTTTTTTTACATAGATCCTGTATGTTTACCCAGACGTATTGTATACTCAGCACGGAGTTACGTCGTTGGGAAGGTAGGCGCATTAATGAACCCTCGATTTCTATGCGCTCCTCCAGGCTTCAGTGGTTAGCTCTTGGTTATTTTCATTCTAGAGAAGTGTTACGCTTAGTACGGTGCATTCTTGGAGGCACGGAGCCGCTATCTATCATGGCTCGCGGAAAAGGTAGCCTTCAGAGATAAGACCTGGACCGTGAATGCATTGAGAAGGCAGCCAGTGCAGAGAATGAGCGAGGTAAGAAGGGGGGGGGGAGGGGGGAGGTGATTGCGATGGGAGTAACTATGCCTTGTGGTGAGTGAGGGTGAAAGGGAGAGGTGGAATGATGCATTTTCCTAGTAGCACCTTAAAGAGTTACGACCATGCTTTGATAGGGGAGGCAGGGAACGATGGGAACGACTCTGTCGCCAAGTCCATCGACCACCTACTAGAGTCTGTGAAAGAAATCTCTCCGTTAGCTAAGATAAACTCGCTCGCATTGCTCAGAGTTCGTAGCATTATATCACTCGATAGTGTAGGGGCAAAGCAACTGAAGCTATTACGAGAAGTGCAAGGTTCTTAACGCTGCTGAGTTCGTATTTAAGGGAAAGAAATAACGTGTGTTTGCTTCATCTGTTACGCTTCAACGCTGCATTGCTAATAAAAGCGAGTTTCTTTTTTGTGAAAGCACTACAAAACTCAATTAAATAATGAAATATTTAGCTATATTAGTTTCTTTTCTCTCGTTCGGACGTCATCAGGAGCATAAAAAGTTCGCGCAAAGGGAACAGAAGAAATATTGCAATTGTGTGTGCATAGCTTGCATCTCACTCTTATGGGAAAAAAATGTTATGTCACGTAGCGCCGCAAAGCAGTCACTGATCCTCATCTCGTTTTCTCTCGCTCTCTTGCTTTCTCATTCGCTTTGCCAGTCCAACTTAGACTTGCGTAAACCATTCGGGCCGATCACCACGTGGCCCACCGGGCGCACCCGAGAGAGCGGTGTGTCCTCTTTGCTCTGGAAGTAGTCGGAACCGCTAAATGGTGTGATAAAAAGTGCTTGGTTGAGTGTACTAGAACTGTATAAGGTTAGCAATGATATTTTAAAGACGATAGCCTTTCTTGGGCACCTCCGACGCAAAAATTGGGGTCTGTCTGTCTGTCTGTCTGTCTGTCTGTCTGTCTGTCTGTCTGTCTGTCTGTCTGTCTGTCTGTCTGTCTGTCTGTCTGTCTGTCTGTCTGTCTGTACATTTGTGTGTTTGTCGGCCTTTAACGGTACCGCAAATAACACCGAACGATAACCCATATGGTGGACCCCATCCGCAGCGCCCACCAATATTACTGAAGTTTTAGCGTTCATACTTGTGCGATTGTCAATTAAAAAGCTATTATCGCGCATATCTCAGGCACCATAACAACACGTCAATATTCTGCATGTGAGCCTTTATACTGGAAAAGGCATATGTAGGTAATTATAAGGACCGTAGCTGTTATCACGCTGCGCTGACGATGCAACGCTTGCACGAAAAGGCAAGCGTTTCCAACGCGTTGCTTAGACGACACAGTGGCGGCACCTACCCGTCGCCTTTCGTTCTACACCTTATCACCCCGAAGACGGGCACGAGGGTCCCAAAAAACTGCCAGATAGCGCTCATGTATCACGTGTGACGTGTCTAGATGCGCTCGTTCGATTCCGCTGCACGCTCAAAGAACTCTGACGCAGTGCCTTCAGAATGCCATTCACCAATTTTCTAGCGAAGAACATCAATAAATGTTTTGTTCACACTCTCCAGACGCAATGCTATCGTTTTTCGACGACATTTATAGTGTAACATGATACGGGGCCATATTTTTAACTAAGAATAACTTGCTTCGCTGTCAACTCAACCACCGGGTACGACGCTATGACCGGATGACCTTCTCAAAGACTTAAACACTAGAATGCTCTTTTACTGACATTGTCAATTTACCGAACAAGTCGATTGAAATGTAACATTGTGGCAGTATATTATTATCATATGCCTTCATATTGCCTTTGATAAATATTACACCATCCATTTATAATAATCTTCGTGGATTCACGTGCCGCCCACACCTTAATTTTGTCCAAACCTTTGATGATTTTATGCCTTCAGTAAGGTTCTTTGATTGGCTCGATCCTGGCATGTAAGTGTCAGGTAATATTATATAAGTTCATGGCCGATATTTTTCATTAATTTTCTTTAGTATAAGATTCAGTGCTTTTTGTGTATTATTTAAAGGCGATGAACCAGGCTGTGGCACGACTGTAAGCCACACAAACTAGAACTATGGCAGGTGGGTGATATTTTGGCGAAAAAAAAATGAAATATCAAGATCAAGCAATAAGGCAGCAGTCGTCAGTCGTTGATACGCTATGGGCGGAGTGCTTCAACCACATATGCATGTCTATTCGTGCGTTCTAGCGCAATCACTCAAGTTCATGTGACTTCTCCTATCTACATCACTGCGTTAGACAAGGAATTGACAACTCTCGGGGCAGCTCTGACGCACGGATACGCTTATTTCGCCGAGAAATGAATCAATGCATGAGTAGGTGCAGTGGCAACCCAGCTAAAATTGTTATGCTGCATGTAATCGTCGCGCGCTCTACAGGTGCTGACCCTCGTGTAGCCGCTAAGAATGAATGCAATGATACCATCCAGTATAACTTTTCCGCTGGTTCATTTGGCTGACATCTAAGGAATGTGCGGTGGTATGAACAGGAAAAAAATACATGGAAGAAAGCAAGCGTTGCATGGTCAGCGCAACGTGATAAACGCTACGGTCCTTAGAATTACTTATGTGTGCCTTTTCTGGTAAGAGACACGCATACAGAATATTGACGTGTTGTTACGGTGCCTCACATATGCGCAATAATTGCTTTTTAATTGACAACCACATGAGTATGAACGCTGAATCTTGAGCAATATTAATGGGCGCTGCAGATGGGGTTAACCCGTTTGGAGTATCGTTTGGCCGCTTTGGGGCCATTAAGGGTATTGTTAAAAGCGGACAAACAGACAAATGTACATACAGGCAGACCTGAATTTTTGCGTCGAAGGTCCCCGAAAATAACCGATGCGTCCGGTCTAGCGCCCGACTTGTCGTTTCCTGCTCCATCTTTCGCGAGTGATGGCTTCTCCTTTGGCTTTTTTGTCTGTCTGTCTGTCTGTCTGTCTGTCTGTCTGTCTGTCTGTCTGTCTGTCTGTCTGTCTGTCTGTCTGTCTGTCTGTCTGTCTGTCTGTCTGTCTGTCTGTCTGTCTGTCTGTCTGTCTGTCTGTCTGTCTGTCTGTCTGTCTGTCTGTCTGTCTGTCTGTCTGTCTGTCTGTCTGTCTGTCTGTCTGTCTGTCTGTCTGTCTGTCTGTCTGTCTGTCTGTCTGTCTGTCTGTCTGTCTGTCTGTCTGTCTGTCTGTCTGTCTGTCTGTCTGTCTGTCTGTCTGTCTGTCTGTCTGTCTGTCTGTCTGTCTGTCTGTCTGTCTGTCTGTCTGTCTGTCTGTCTGTCTGTCTGTCTGTCTGTCTGTCTGTCTGTCTGTCTGTCTGTCTGTCTGTCTGTCTGTCTGTCTGTCTGTCTGTCTGTCTGTCTGTCTGTCTGTCTGTCTGTCTGTCTGTCTGTCTGTCTGTCTGTCTGTCTGTTTTTACGCTGCCACACTTCCCTTCAAATGATGCAAACACTTTTTCATGTTGTTGTGTCTGAATTCTTCTTTCCTTTTTTTTTTCTCGTGCAGGTTGTGCATTTGTCAAGTTTAGTACACACACTGAAGCACAGGCAGCTATCAATGCTCTCCACGGCAGCCAGACAATGCCGGTAAGCACATGATCTCTCTTCTCTCGCGCATGTCCAGTGAGAAGTTTTTCTGCCCGCCCCCGTGTGAAGGTGACACCATCACCACTGTGCACGTTCCTTGAACTCAACAGGTTCTCAAAATACAAACAGTGAACGCAATGTTCTCTCCTGATATTTCTCGTCCTTCTTGCGCACTTCTGTGACGTAGACAGTATTTCTGTGACGTCGATAGTGTACATTTTTTTTCGATTGTTCTGCGTACGCGAAATTTCAAATGTTATTTGTCTCCTGCGCTGTTTCGCCATGCAGCCGCCCATACGATCTTCCTTGTCTCGCACGAATATCGTGCACGATCAACCGATGACACTTCATTTTGTGAACTTAAAACCGCGCAAGCTGCGATAATAGCGTGTAGCCGAGGAGCGCGAAATTCTGACGGGCTCTGGCGCTTAGTGTGGAGAGGGTTCACGTGATTTTGAAGAAATAAGGGGAAAGGAGGATGCATCGCATGCGCGAAGGGTATCGATGTGGAGGAGAAAACGACCCCCTCGTCTTAGAACGCGGAGGTGTGAGTGGCCGTTTAAGGTGTTGTGCATCTGTAACCGCAAACTCTTCTCTCTCGCCCCCCCCCCCTCCGTTTTCTCATTTATGATTGTAGCGCGTGAGTGTGCGTGACAGCTGGCTAAAAGAAAAATATATATTTACGGCAGCGTCGCAGTGGTAGTGCCAAGTCTCAAAAAACAGCGGAGGTGATTGGCCGTTCTTGTTTCTCATTATTTTTTCATTTATTTCTTATTTTCCCCTCTCTTTATTTCTGTTACTTGTATCCTCTTCTACATGTTCTTTTTTTGTTTACTGCTTTCTTCATTTATTTCTTTCTCTTCCTCGCTCTTTCTTTATTTCACTTTCTTTTCTTTTTTCTCTCTCTCTCTTTCATTGTTTCTCTTTTGTTTTTATTTTTCATTTTGGCCTTGCTCTCTCTGTTTCTCGTGTTAACCGCGTCTTTATTGTGTCTGCTTCTTTCTATATTTTCCTCTCTTTCTATTTATCAGTATCTCTTTCTTTCTTTTTATCACATTTATCTGTCTCTTTATTCACTTTCTCCCACCCACCCACTCTCCCTCCCTCTTTTTCTATCTATCTATCTATCTATCTATCTATCTGTCTAATTTCATGTTTCTTTATTTTCTCTTCTTCGCCTGTTTCACATGCCCCACTACGCCGAGCATACTCTCGTAGTTGATCGCTTGCACCATCTGTACGTGCTCCTGGCGATTGCCCAGTTCCTGCGTCTCATGTCCACCTGTGGAGCTTCTGACGACTTAGTATGAGTTACTTATAGCTTAAGGTAAAGTGCCGATAGCTTACAGACATGTTATCGATAAGTCACTGATAAGTCACCTATAAGTTGCGGATACCTTAAAACAGCTTTGTTATCAAGAAAGATTATCCCCGCGCTGTCCTAAGATGGTAGGTTCCGTCCACACTAACATCTACATGTTTTTTATCTACATTGATTCAATTTCAATTATGATATAATTACTACATTACAGTTAATAACTACAGACGGTGTAGTTCATACCTTTCTTGGTGTCATAGTATGTTGGCCTCATTGGGCTACATATAACAATCGGAATATTACCACTCAATTCCTGTTACGTAACCTCTTGTGGTTTGTTTGATAGCTTTATCAAGACTAAGATGGCGGCGCAGCCCGATTCGCTCAGAAGCGATAATGTGTCTAGCTCGCATTTGTTTTCCCGCAGGCGTCTCTTTGTTTGCGCTTCCTTCACTCAAAATAATCCTCGCTGCAAAGCATATCGTGTGGTTCTGGTCGCTATAATTGCTATTTGCCATCGGTGTACTTCCACTTACTCCATTGTGAACATCGGTGTACTTCCACTTACTTCATTGTGAACACCGGCTGTGTGCCGCTCCGTTTTACTATTCGGAAAAGCGATGTTTTCATCGTGATCTCGAAAGCGCACATCATTCGCGCGCTTCTATTTGTTCGAATTAATAACCACTGTGATAATTGGTTTATCATTCCGTCAACTGCTATACCTCTTCGAGCTTTTTAAGCCTGTATGTTTTGTTTGCTTCGTTCTTCTGTAAAGCGGTGAAACTTAAGTTACCATAATCGCCGAAAGACATACGGTCTTCTTGTGGACAACTGCGTACATCAAAGGATCTATCAGTGAGGGCGCGCACGCATCTCCAACCATAATCGAAAAAATGCTGCTTCCCACGTTTCTATAATCCAAGCTTTTGCGCACTCGCAAAATCAGGCGCGCAAAAACCCGCTGATTGGATTTTCACCGAAAGAGAGAGGCATTTGGTAAACGCTAGAGCCTGGAATCGCATTCGAAATCCTCTATTTGCACACACTTGCGATATCGCTTTTCTTTGTAAGTCCTCGCAATCGGGTTCCAATCAACGTCGAGTATTCTGCGTGGGCGTATGCTGCGGGGAAACTTGGTGTATATAGCGTGATATATCTATTTCAGTATAGCGCGGACACGCCTGCCAGAAGCAGGCGACTCCATCTGTCTTTTACGTGGGCCGACGCCAGCCTACGCTATGGTTTAGTCGAATAGGAGCTGTGACTACGTTGCAACGTCGACCACTCCGAGCCCTGCAATGAGCTTAAGAAGGAATTACTCGTGGTAAAGGCTGATTATTTCAGAGCTATGCATGAGGAAAGACCGTGGGAATGCATAAAACTACTTGAAAATGTGTTAGTGAAGTTCCAGTTCTCTGCAGAAAACTGAAAACGGGGCTTGTTAATATGTGTGCACTATATTATTATTATTATTATTATTATTATTATTATTATTATTATTATTATTATTATTATTATTATTATTATTATTATTATTATTATTATTATACAAAAGCACAAAATGGTGCAATTGACTCAGGGAGGGAGCAAGCTGGCAGCTGTCACCCAGCTCAATCATGGGGATAGGGGGACAGAAAAAAATAAAACCTACTTTGCCTCAAAATGAACACCTGCTTCGACTCCGTTCTATTAGCACATATACCTGCACGAAATTTTTACTCACTGCTAGTTCAAAAAAGAACGTTTTCTTCTTCTTTTTTTTTCTTTTTCTCGCAATGCTTACGTTCGTTCGCGGCCGCGGTGGTGGCATTTTGATGGAGATGCAATGCTACAGAGGCGTGCGTACTGTGTGAGGTCAGTGCTCTATAATCACCTCCAGATTGATGAAATTATTCGGAACCTTCTCGTTACACTTCTTCAATACCTGTTATATCGTATATTCTTCTGACAGTGAGGAGTTTCTGCCACGCGCCTGTGGCGTTATATTGTAAGTGTGTGATAGGCTGTGTGACAGGACGAAATCGTTTTATCTATAGCGAATGTCGCGCAACAACAGTATAGAATCTCTTCGCCCTTTCCCTGTGAGCTTCGATACTCTGCGAATCATTTTCGCCATTAACTTTTCTACTATAGTTACTATAAAAATATCTATGGCACTGCGATAATTCAGCCACCGCGCGAATGGTGGATACGAATCTGTCCAATCTTTAAGCTTGCGGCTTGGAACGCACTTGTTGGTTTGTTTATTGTTTGTTTTTATCGTTTGTTTCGGATAAAAGAGTGGTACGTTTTGAACTTTGTAGGCCGGTTTAAATTCATGAACCTAGAGAAGGTCAGGGTGATGGAGTGGAACTGCTGATCATTCACTGAACTTTGTCTAGCGACTAAGCAACTTTAGGCCATACGGTGCCGAATCCGTGTACTCATCATTCCAATGCGTGCTTAGTCGCCATGTGCTGCAGCTCCCATCGACACTATAGCGCCAAATTTCCGTGTAGTATTAGGACACTTTATTTTTTTCATGTCGACAAGAACTTGTTCATTAGTTTATGTGGCATATGGTAGTGACGACGCATAAACGCAATATGAGACAAAAACGCTTAGACAAAACGTACGCACAGCGTCGACGTGTGTTCTTTGGGCTTCTCGGTCGTACTTGTTTCTCAAGCGTGCTGCCACGCCGTGACTAACTACTAGTCCGCCGGTACGTCTTATTAATTTTATAAGTGGCTCGGCAAGCGCCCGATTGTTAAACTTCGTCACGTGGAGCCGTCGTTCGCTTTGCTACAAAGATTCATTACCTATTCAACACCTGTCCAACCGTGTCCGCATAGGTCATCTTTCACGAACGCCATGGCGTTGCGCCACCTCCTCGCGGGTCTTCAGAGTTGCTGAGGGACGTTTAAGAAATCACACCAGTGCCACCATTTGTCTCACTTTGTCTTCACGTGGCCCGCTTCTTTCGGTCTTGGCCAAGTTCGACCGTCATGCACATTTTGCTTAGACTAATCGCGCTCTTTTCGCTCGCAGCCGAAAAAACAATCGCGGATATACTCCCTGACGACGGCACTCTTTTTCCACGTGTGACCGTTTTTCCCCTGGTGTGCGCGTCGTTAGGTCGCGGGAAAATGTTGCAAGCGAGGGACGAAAGATAAATGACACCGGAGTCCTCCCCGCTCACGCGACAGGCATAGCAGGGGTCTCTGCTTGGTATTAAGGGGGCAAGGAGGCGTAGCGTGCGCTCCTGGCTGCCTTAACGAGGGAGCGTCGGTATGTAGTACGTATACGATGTAAGGGGTTCTGTGCCGCAGCCGAGTACAGGCAGAGTCCTGGCCTGACGCGCGCACAAAGGAAGGAGCCCTTTATTGACGCGTTCCCGCCGCCTGAGAAAATGGGGGCGGCGCTTGGCCACCGACAATGGCCGTGCAGACGCTGGGCTCTTCAGCCGGGGTCAGCTGTCTGCGGGCGCGTGGGCCGCACTTATCCGGCGACTAAGGCGCGCCCCCGCATGCCCTCTAGGTTCGCTGGCGGCACTCGCTGAATAGGGCCCTGAGGCACCGGCGTCACTTACAGCTAACGAGTGAGCGCACCTAGAGGTGCGTGCTCGTTGGCGCCCTTTGTTTGTCGAGTGCGTTTTAGGTTGGCCAGTGGACGGGGCCTATACTTCTAGCAGTTCATGCATGCCATATACGCGGCGTACAGCGTGAACAACGTCGCTACAAAAAGCTTTTTTTCGCCACTGCAAAAACTAGCCGGTTGAAAGGCTTTTGTGAACCCATGGCGCCCGGGTGAGCCAGGTTCTTGCGGAGGTGCCCAACTGGGCGACTTTCTCCTTCAAATAGCTCTTTCCTGACGCGTTCCTTTGGAAGCTTTATGCGAAGAATTAGGAGGCCTGGTACACCATGTAGATTTTCTCTGTACCCGCTCGTAGCTTCTTCTTGCCTCGTCTCTTCTCGTACCATTTCAATTAAAGAATAATCGTTGATCCGTCTCTCGAATGGAACCACTCGTAACTGGGAAGTGGACCACGTCTCTATAGAGGTTGCTGCAACTCTATTGGTCGTTAAGAAACACAGTTTGCTCAGTGAGTAATGGGGCTGTGTGGCAACTTTTGACGTGAATCTCGACATTAAATGCGACATCTTGTTGACCAGGTTTGTCCAGCTTTGTACTTTGGCGGCCCAGGCTGCCCGATATGTTGCGATGCACTCAGCTTCACAAATTCGAGAGACACAATTTGCAGGGAGTGAAAGAGAGATGCGAGTTCGGAAAATCAGATCACCTTCTGAATGCTGAGAGAAAAAGACGCCCTTTGTGCAGCCCTGTAATATTTCAGTGGAAGCACGGATGCGGGACTGCGTTGCTCTTCTCGCTCGCGTGTATCTCGCTGTTTCAAGCGTGGCCTCCGCGATTAGCTCCGATAGTGTGCCGTTGCTCGTGGAGGCCATGGTTCAGCGCCGTCATGACAGTGCCAGGCCACGCCGAGACGTTGCCGCAGCGCTTTGACACAATACTTCGCTGAAGTACTCCTAGATGGCCGCACTATTCATTGATGACACTCTTATAGAGAGCAGTAATCATATGCAACGTTTTGTAGAAAGTATTAGAAATAATACAGAAAAGATTACACCATCACCCACTAAAGGGAACCTTTAGTGGGCGATGGTGTTTCAGGCAAGTATGTATGCGGGCTACCTGAAATAAATATGATATAAATAAAAATGAGTTGTCTGCGAAGAAGCGCATGGGTCGACTTAAAGTTCCGTTCATCACAGGCACCTGGCTCGATGTTAATGGGTCCTTACAAGTGGAGCACACTATGAATTCACTGTAGTTTCTTGCCTGCTATATGTTTATGGTGCGGGCTGAGGATTTGTTTTTTTTTTCATAGCTCACAATAAACAGTGTAGTTTCTGTTGCTGCTGTTACTCTTGCCAAACTCTTGTTGGAGCACGCAATGGGAAGGGAGCGCTCCTTGCTTTGAACAACCATGCAGACCTTCGCTTTCACGCGTTCGAGGGGCCCCACTAAGAATTGTTAGTGCTCCCTGCTAGGGATGCACAGACACCGTTTCTTCCTTTATTCAACACATTCTCCTCCTATTCGGTAAGGTAAGCCCTACTGCAAAGAAAGTGTCGCTCGCACAGGTGGACCGATCACCGTCCAAGGCGGTTAGGCTAACTTCGCCTTTAGCAACACTATTACCATTACGAGCATCGCCAGTCTCCCCTTCTGCGAGCTTGGAGAAAGATGTGTCACATGCAAAGCGAAACTTCATGAAAATGTGAATAGGCACCATCTTACTTCTGCCGTGGTGGATGCATGTCCAAGTCGTGGTAGAACCGACTTTGTAAACGGCACAGTTCAGCCAGCAATCTACCAGAGTCTGTAACGTTGAATGGAGCGGACAGGGGGAAAAGAAGGAGCAAGGAAACCAACAAAGCGTGTCCTAAAAACGAAGACCTCTAGTTGCGAGCATCGCTTGTTCTTTAAATCAATGGTCTTTCTTTCTTTGTCCTTTGACGCGAAAGGCTGTTTTTTTTTCTTGACTTGCACCTGCAGGTGTAGCTCAGCAACTTTTTTTGTAAGCGCACAGACGACTTTTTTGAAAATTGTCTGTTCTTCTGTTTGTGCCCCGTCTGCTCAACGATGCAGTAACCTTAGTCTACTTTACGGTCGTTATGATAGTGAATCGAGGTATAATTTTCATTGAAATCAGTACGAGCAATCGTCATTCCATCGTCCAACCATTTGCATCTCGCATACGTTATCGTCAAGCACGCGTGCACACACGCAAGTGCGCGCATGTAAGTACGTACGTATCGCTTACCATACACCGGCAAATTGGGTCGTGAAGCTCTGTTGAACCGCAGAAAATGATAGATCGCCAGCAATCTGAACGAAAAATTATTTGCGTGCGTGTAACATTAATTCCCGTAGTACGTAAGACCTCGTTACTTTGATTTCTCAATCATGAGTGCTGGTTGTTGTGTGTGTCGAGTTTGCATTCATATATTTTAGTGGGAAAAAAAATCTCGTGTAATGAGCATGTTGCGTGTATCACAATTTCATGACAGTACATCATCGTCTTCCCAAGTCCAACGGAAATAGCATTAAACTAATTAAATTATTTATGTCATTTGTGCGCCTATGTACGTTCGTTTAATAATCGAATTTGAACGCAGAGGTATTGCTCCTGCGCTGCCGTTTCCACAGCTCCGCGTTCTGTGGATTCGTGCTTGTTGCAATAAATAAGTTACAGAAGCTTCACATCATTGGGCAATTTTGTGCAACGTCTTAGTCACACTACCATTTCAAGACCACAATTAAAGCCGAGTGCACCATGCCAATAAGCCTCCGCTTCGCTTGTGTAACCGCCGCGCTACCCCCTTTTTTTTTCTCTCAATTTTATGCTCTTGTCGGAGATCCTTGCGCAACAAGCTCGTGATCCGTGTACGACAAGTAACATGTATTGCAACGAAGACGTGATTTAGAGTCATATATGAAAAAAGTGTTGCCACGCTTCGCCATATTGTTTCTTAATAATATCTGGGGTTTAACGTCCCAAAACCACGATATCACTATGAGAGACGCCGTCGTGGAGGGCTCCTTAAAATTTTACCTCCTGGGGCTCTTTAACGTGCACCCAAATACGAGCACACGGGCCTAAACAGTTTTGCCTCTATCGAAAATGCAGCCACCGCAAGCGGAACTTCATCCCGCGACTTCCGGGATCTTTTTTTTTTTTTCTTGATGATGAATATGCGTGGGTATTTACAGTCACGTTTCGCAAATGCCTTGTATTTTTTTTTAAATGTGAAATAACTTGTTTATTGGGTTTTATGTGCCAAAACGTCCTTATATCGTTACGAGACACGCCATGATTTGATATTCCGGCTTAAACTCGACCACCTGGTGTTCTTTAACGTGTTCCTGAATATAATTACACCGATGTTCATGCGTTTCACCTTCGTCGAAGTGTGCCTAACGTGGCCGGGGAAGTCGAACCCGTGCCCTCGAGCTGAGCAGCGCGACACCCTATGTACCCGCTGAAATAAATGTTGAACTGTGAACCTGTTTTGCGTGATGTGTGATATAAAATGCGTGTAGGAAGATATTTTGTGTATCATTAACGATTTTGGTGCCGGCGCTAGTTGGTTCTCGTGGACAGTGTGAAACTCCGTACCGGCAAACATAAAACATGAACAGGACAGAAAAAGACGCACAATGCCGGATTTCAGCTTGCGTTTTACATTGTGTATTGCATTCTGAGCGTGCTAAATCCCCGAATACTTTCTTTATAGCGCCCCTTAACAACACCACGTTCAAACGCGAGAAAACAGTTCCTTTCTCGCCTACAAACGCTATTCTTTCTTTGCCACTTATTCTTTAAAAAACACCAGGAACGTGAGCACTCAACGTTGATCCAGTCACGACTTCACGCTTCTCGACTGCACACTAGCTTCGCTTACGCCGAAAACAAAAACAGTGAAATCACTTTATCACGCACATATCATTGCCCGACGAGGCAGAACGAGCTGGCTGCAACTGCGTGGTGAAGCAGGGTAGGCAATTATACAACAACAAACCAACCCATATCGACCAATCGGGACTTTATTCCACCCTGACGTCACGTGAACTAACTGCCTGCGTCGCGAATCGTATGGCAATGATCCGGAGACGCCGGGAGAAAAAAAATAATGCGCCAGTTGCTCGTCTTTTTTTGAAATTGTTCGGAGACCCCTTAAAGGAATTTCTCAAGAGGTAATTCTAATGCCTCAATCTGTCGCAGGGTGCGTCGTCTAGTCTAGTGGTGAAATTTGCCGACACCGAGAAAGAGCGGCAGCTTCGGCGGATGCAGCAGATGGCGGGCAACATGGGCCTCCTCAATCCTTTCATCTTCAACCAGTTCGGCGCGTATGGCACCTACGCGCAGGTACGTATGACCTTCCTTGTTTGTTTATTCATTTACAGCACTGACAGCCTCATTTCCAGGTCATAGCAAGTGCCTGAAGATTACGCGCTAGTTTGCGATGTAGACGTGTACGAAAGTGAAAAAATCTGAAGCGTGAACAATAGTCACAATCAATGACAGTTAGGAGTGTGTTCAATCTAAGCCGTACAACAAATATAAAAATTATGTACCTAGTCATGCGCAATCGTTCGTGAATATGCTTATAACAGAACAAGCAGTTTTATTGTGCATATATTACAATATTTCATGCAATTAAAAAAAGACAACAGAATGCAGATGTTACCGATATTACAATTGAGTACAGAATCACAATGTCTCAACAAAACAAAAACAGGTACAAGCGGCATTTTAGAAAATGAAGTTCTCGTCTATTGTACACGAACTAAATCTTGTTCGTAACTACTTAGTTCGTCTTTGAAAAAACTTAAAGAATTCACAATGGGGTACTGTGTTAGTTGTAGCTCCACCTAGGTGATTCCGTTCGCAGACAACACGGGGGTAAAGGAAAACTAAAGAGTATGTTTATTGCGAAATATCTCCTTTAGTTTATACGTGCAATTGTGGCGGTTCGGGCGTGTTAGTAGGACACGATGAATAAATTCTAAACGCTCGATCTGAGAACTGGCTAACCTCCCTGTCCTTCCTCCTTCAATCATCTAAGCGCTCAAACATGCGAGGACCTATATGTGCGTGATGACTATGGACCTGCCTCATGCGTTTGTGTTTTGTTTTTTTTTTTGTCCTCGTCTGCTTGAGCGCTTAGAATTTATTTATTAGTCTATGCGGGTGATCTTGACGATTGAGCTATGTGGGACTTTAGATGGTGAAGATGCAGAGGCATCTCTTTTTAGTCAATTGAGTGTTATGTGATCCGGAAATTTTAAACGGAATTGTTTTGCTGGAATATCCAACCTTGCAAACCCTGACTGCGTTATTGGAGAAGTAAACGATTCGCTGCGCCAGTATTTTCTGTGAACGAAACTGCCTTTCTCTAGACGTTCTCTTCCATTTTGTAGGAAATATACTATGAAGCTCGATAGATTTAGTGCACGAGAACCGTACGACATCAACAAACTGATGAACTGGTCTCACTAGCGTATACAGTGCAAGCTAGCCGTGCAAGCTAACCACGGACACATTTTGAGAAGAAAAAAAAAACAAGTTTTTGCTGCACATAACAGATAATATTGTTAATCTGCGGCGTGCAGGTAATGTCTGGTGTTATTATTAAACCAAGACACCCGAATATACGAACAGTGCAACCTAGAAATAGTTACAGCGTGACTACGAACGCAATAAACGAGGACAGAAAAGGAGCGCTGGTATCACTGTTGTATTTTCCACCCCGGAAACGCTATCAAAACTTTGTAAGCTGGTGAATCACCCTGCTGATGCAGAGTAAGATGCGCTGTGAAACACAAAATGCCCTTCGTTCCTTGTGCTATTGGTGTCGCGTATATTCTTCTGCTACACTGCGGTTAGATATACAAAGGGCACACCGGGAGGGGCTTGAATGACCGTTTAAGAGAGCATAATAATAATGTGCACAATGTGGTTCAAGGACAGCTTGGAACCCATTACCGTGACTGCGGCAGCGTGCCCCTCTCTAAGCGTTGCGAGGTAATAAGAAGCACCACTCGTATAGGCCATTGCTCTTTTTTTTTTCTTGAGACACAAGCATTGCTCTTTTTTTTTTCTTGAGACACAAGTAAACTAGTACACTTTTCTCAGTAATTTCTTGTAATTTTTGTGATAAGAGCCTGCACATGTTTCAATATAGATGGATTAATTCCCGTGATGTGAATAATCTTTCTATAAAGGATATGCCGAATGAACCTTGGTATTTCGTCTAGCGCCACCATGAGCCACCACACTGCGCTTAGCTTGTCGTTCCAGTTTATGCATCCAAGAATATTTTTTTTTTTCATTTGCACACTGTATTAAAAAGAAGAACAATATCACTGCGTGTTAAAAAGAAGAACAATATTGTGAGCAGTTCTAAAAAGTTTCGTGAAGTTCTGTAATCAGGGCCATGATGTGCTCCGGTGTCGTGAGGAGAAGCTCCTCAGCCGGCGCCTGCACACCGCGTCCCATCGACGTGAGGACCTCGCACGTAACCAGAGTAGCTATAAGATTGTGCACAAAGGTAAGCAGCTGCGCACTGGTGGTGGATGAGATAACTTGATTAAACAAAAGAAACCTGTGAATGGCTGCGGATTTCCGAGGCTGACGCAAAACACCGTGGCCATAAAACTTGAAGCTGAGCTGTTGTCATCCTCGGACTCTAAACTCGTCCTCATTTAAATCAGGTGTGGTTGCAAAACAGTTTCGATCGTCGCGCGCGCGCGTGTGTGTGTGTGTGTGTGTGTGTGTGTGTGTGTGTGTGTGTGTGTGTGTGTGTGTGTGCGTGGGTGTGTGTGCGTGTGTGTGTGTGTGCGTGTGTGTGCGCGTGTGTGTGTGCGTGTGCGTGTGCGTGTGTGCGTGTGTGTGTGTGTGTGCGTGTGTGTGTGTGTGTGTGTGCGTGTGTGTGTGCGTGCGCGTGCGTGTGTGTGTGTGTGTGTGTGTGCGCGTGTGTGTGTGTGTGTGTGTGTGTGTGTGTGTGTGTGTGTGTGTGTGTGTGTTGTGTGTGTGTGTGTGTGTGTGCGTTTTCAGCGCAGGCGCGCATCCCTGCGTGCGTGACAACGACGCCATAGAAGCGACAAGTGACACTAGATGTAGCCCTGCATAACAATATAAGCGAAATCAAAGCTCCCGGAAACCGGCTAAGAAGGCCACCTCTACACTTTATACCTGCGGCGCACTTCTGCAGTATTTTTTTATAAAGTAAATGTTATCTGGCTCCTAGCAACAACATTTTACTGAATAGCTGGCATAACTTTCTGGTTTATTACTGGTCAACTCCGTCAGATTGCGAAGCTGACAGCTTAATTTGATATTTGACTTGCAAAGGTGCTTTCGGTTACGGAACTTTGATGGTATACTGTAGCATAAACACGAGTGGCACGCATTTTTGACAGGTTCGCCAGCCAACTGCATTTTCTCAACAACACACGCACATTGATTCGCGCAAAAGTCTGTCGAAAATCACCATGTTGCCAAAACGGGCAAATTCACATTGATTCTCAAAGTTGAGTGGCGGAACTAACTACTAGAAAGTGCTGGGTACACGAGAAACGAATTCAGCATGCCAAAATCGACGATCCTAAACGTCGATCACCGGTAATAGATTTGAATAGGCGCGGTAACGAAAGAGTTTAACGGTTATCTCTCGTGTGGAATGACATATGCGTGTCGAATTAATAGGTGGCGCTACCATACCCTGCGCATGTGCACATAAGTTTTATATATCTTTCTTTTGCGCCACTGTGCGCGATTTTTGTCGATAGTCGGCTTGTTTGCTGTTTGCGTTGCTGAAACTGTGGCGAGCTTTCTTTCGAACTATTTTGCTCTTCGTGAACTCTGGAGCAGGAGCGACGTTATGGGGAGGGTACGATTACTTGTACGATGTAAATGAATAATTATTCGTTCACAGACAGGTCTCACTGTGAGCTGCTAAGGCCGACGAAGATGGCCATCCTTCCGCGCTCTATAGACCATTTGCAAAAGCAACTCTCCTGTCGTGCGACTCGCATGTGCTACAGGTGCAGGCAGAAAACTATAGGCGCGGCGCCTCTTATTTTTTCGCAGGAGCAACTGCCGGCGACCACCGGGGAGCAGGCGCAGTACCTGCCTCACGTCGGAAGAGCGCTGTATCACACGGCTACGGTATGCATCGCCCTCTCAACCGCATACGTGCATTTCGATATTCTGGAATAGGGGAACGAAATTTTACAAGTTTATGTCTTTCCGTCTTATAAGTAAAGGGGAGCTACATAAGCTGTGTGGCCTGAAGGAGGCTCTGACAGATGATGATGATGATGATGATAATAATAATAATAATAATAATAATAATAATAGTTGTTGTTGTTGTTGTTGTTGTTGTTGTTTGGGCTTTACCTTCCAAGAACACGATACGATTTATAGTTTAGCCACGCGTGTTATGCAATAGCGCAGAGTATTTTCCGCGGACAACATTTTACCTAAAGCTTGAAGAGCTTCGCTCTTTAAAGAAGCTGCTCCCCTGCTATGTCTTGTTTTCTTATGAGCTCGTTGTAGCGGGCTTCCACTGTGCATGTCGTTCGAAAAAAAGTCTGTCCGTGCGTCCTCTGCACAGAATGAGCCAGTATAAGAAGGTGTTGTTACGATTATGGACGGGGTGTCATCCCTGCGCGTGAACTGATGAATGTGGCACGCGGTGCCAGCTGATGCAGCAGCAAGCCGCGCTGATGGCGGCCGCCCAGGGAGGCTACATGAACCCCATGGCAGCGCTGGCCGCCGCACAGATCCCCACCATCGGCGCCATGCCCAACGGACTGGCCAGCCCCGCGCTCACGCCTACCTCCGGTGAGTGTTCGCCTTCGCCCGAGTCGCTTTAGCCATAAGGCAGTGCCGTTCATTCTTTCATTTTATTTTGTTCCAGCCCAGCAATGGAACATCTGTAATGTCTTGTGCTTTCGCGGGTTACGTCGGCTCTTCGCGCGTAATCATTAAGAATTTATTACGGTCGGCGCGAGGTTTAAAAGAAATTTTTTTTTGGAGCATTTGTGCGTCATTTCGTTAATATACTGCATGCTTGCGTTGCTGTGCCGACAGACGTATACGTACTCATAGAGTTGTGCGGTCTCGAATTGACGAGCGCGCTCCACGAGCTTGGAGCGAACGGACACAGCAGACGCGGTCGGTACAAACCAAAACAACATACGTTTGTTTACCTATGTCAGAACGACGATATCGTCCGCCGAATCGATACATCAATCGTTATCAACACGCTAGGACCTCCGTACGCAATACCCCAAAACATGACAAACACAATAACACACCCAAGATGGCGTCGCCAACGCTTGACTTGCCGCGAGGGCCCCCGACGCGCAGCCTGCGGTGCCACGCACCGGGGACCCACGCTAGAGACAACCGTTCGTGGCAACCACCATGCGCAGAAGAGATTCGCTCAACTCTCGCCCGCCACCAAGGCTTGCCTTCCGCCAGTGGTCACCGCTGGCGCTACACTATAATGATGATGATCATGGGGATCAACGCGAACGCAACGCCACCTACCGCCCGATGGTTGTAACACGAAATGCGGCTTTTGGGCAAGACACGCGCGTTCCGCAACGCAAACAACTTTACAGGGGGTGCCAGCACCCCCACAGAGTATATATAGGCAACAATGCAGACATCAGACAGTTATAGTTCAGCGTTAGCGTGATAGCGTATGTTAAGGGAATGGCGCTACCGTGCAGCAAACGTTCGTTGTAGGCAGCGTCTTACAGTTTAGCGAAATGGCGCTTACGTCGTTTACGTGCCCCCAAGTGGGATGGTGGCGCCACCTATTAGATGGTTGATAAGTTAAACAGTGAAAATGAAAAGAAAACGAGAAGGTTTGCCTATGCCACCGCGCGAAGCATTGTTAGAAGTTTATTTTTGTGATAATAAAAGTAAATAAATATGAACCACGTACAAAACGCGAAAACATCTACGTTGTCGATTTGTTTACATTGATCTTGTAGATAGGCCTAGGCGCGTTCGAAATTGGAAGCTGTCTCAAAAACTACGCCAACTTATCCGTAATACTCAGTCATCGAAGCTAACTGAAAGCAAGCGAAGCCAGTTTGAACAGTTGTTTGCTGCGAACAAGGTGAATCTTTCAACAACTACGCCAAAATCACTTCGAAACGGGCGTCCGAGAGTTCCGCCATGTTTAAGTACACTACGTGCACCTCCGCTACCTTAAATCTGAAAAATACCGCGCGTGCGGTAAGCGTAACGTACGTATCTGCGCATGCGCACTTCGATTCCGGTATCACGGTACTCCCGGTATACTATAACTCTCTAGCGCAGCTGGTGGAGCGCACCCACGCGGTGGAGATTGCCTCGACCAACGTCCCTAGAACGAATTCAAGTAATGTGATCTAGTAATTCTGATAACCTATTCTAGTAATATTGGCATTGACGTTGTGCGACGGCGCTGCTGTTTAATGACGTAGAACCCTGCGGAAAATTGAACGAGGTCATGGAGGTGGCGCAGCGCGTAGACGACGAAAAAAAAAAAGCTAATGAAGCGACGAGGCGTCGACATCAGTATATACCGCGAATACAAACATCAGAAGTGGGACGGCGCAAAAAAGCAAATGGTTCGTCGTACGACTATGCGTACGATGAAGGATGTCACCGTCTGCAGTGAAATAATCCAGAGAAACGAACGCAGAGGCGTCTATATGCAGCACCAACCCGAATATAGCTTCGCTGGTAATCCGTCTCAATATGAGCGTTGCGACCACGCGAATATGTCGATAAAAACGGCATTTGTGGTATCATGGCTAGTATCCATGTTTACACACCCTCAGCTTATAACGCAGTCTAGCATTGAAATGCTCCGAATGAACGAGAGAGTCGTGCCTGCATTGGTTGCTCTTTTTCCGTGGGTGGTTTCGAAAGTAGCAGCAGCGGCTTCGTTTTTCCCTGCGATTGCGTCTTCTCGTTTTTACTTTCATTTTGGTATGGTCAGCGTATGGTGAACGTATATACAGCTCAGCCACACTGTACAAGCAGCCGCCGTTGCATCAGATGCATCAAACTCCCATTGAGCCCTTCGCTATTTTCTTTGCCCGTTATCGCTCTGCGCTGGCTCGCGATTTCTGCAAAAGAAAAAAAAAGGGGAGGGGGGAAAGTAGCAGCGCTTATACGAGCGAGTTATTTCATTCGCTCTTGCTGCCGCTCTTAACGACATCGCCACATGTTCCACACTCGAATCATCTATCCGCTCGTACAGCACGTATCGCCGTGCGCAGAACCAATCCGCCCTCGCGCTTCGCTTCCTTGTTTCCATCGGTCTGCGCAGCCTCGCCGCACTAGCAGCGCAGGCACAAGTTGCCCAGTGCAGTTGAGCGAAGTGCCCGACGTGTGTCTGGCATGGAACGGAGGCTCGTTACTCATTCCGCGTGGCGGGGAAAGGGACGAGCTTTTGACGGGAGCCGCATACACACCTGCGATGCACTCGCCGATTTCTGCGGTGGTTCTCGTGGGTTTGGTTGCTCGCGCCGTGGTTCGCCCGCTGACGGAGTAAAGGGACGCGATTGGCTGCTTTTTTTTTCTTCTCATTCGTTCTCCTTCTGTCTCTCTCGTCTCGTTCATTTGTGATGCCGCTTAGAGGCGCAACAACGCGCGCTTACCCTCGCGTCGAGGAGCGCCGCTCCAAATGCGCGAACTGCGTGGGAAAGCCGCCTTTCGGGACGCGCAGCTATAAATGTGGCTTGAATGAGTTGTACACGCGGTACAGCTTCTCCTCTTTTTTTTTCTGCTTTTTAACTTCGTCCTCGATCAAGTCGAAACTGGCATGGAGTGACATATTGTGCGCCGCTGTATGTCGAAAGCGCGCCTTCAGCATGTTCATATCTTGCGTGGGCTGCTTCTGGCCGGCTATTTGACAAGGTTAAAAACGACGAGGCGTCTTGCTCCGCACCTGTTCGCGGTTAAAACTTCGTGCCAACTTTAAACGGTTTGCTGCATAATCGGTCTTTATGTGCGTCTCTGTCCACCCTGAACATAATTTTTTTTTAGAAATAGCGCGGTGTTTTCCGAGATAATTTTCGTGACATTTGTCATGTCAGAGCTGCCATTGCAAAATATTGGGCCCCGAATATTTTCTCGCGAACTTCTCTAGTGCAGAAACATGCTCTATGCTTGAGTCGAGATTCTTAGGAAGTGTGCGTTGTCGCTAAGCCTGTTCGAGTGGTTGCGAGACATGGAAGTAAAATTGAAAGTTAACGAGTTTTGACCAGTAATTCGTTCTGATAGCTTTTGGCTTGCATCGCTTAATGAAGTTAATTACGGTGTAGCAATAACGCACGGAAAGGAGAAGCGAATAGAAGTATATAGAGAAAAGCGCGTATTTCTTTGCTATTTTTATTGTATCACGCGCTGGATGAAGTGGATTCCAGCAGACGTTCTGTACTGGGGTCGCGACAGAAAACCTGAGGGGCCGACTTAATTACTGGCAGCGCAACACCGGAAAAACACACAGGGAAGGAGCAAAATAGAAAGAAAAGATGGTGCTCACGATGGATCTTAACCAACTGGCCCAACTTACCGTCCTAAAAGGCCGAGACTGTGTTTATCTGGGCATCGAAAGAAAGGAGAAAAATATTTGTGCTAGCCAAAATGAGGTTTATTGTTTCGGACAAGCAAGCGGATTGTTCGGCGCGTCACTCAGTCATGAATGCGTACAGCTGCCCGTTATTGCAACAAACAGCTATAGCTGAGTCAGTTCGTAATGAAACATCTTGAAAAAGCAACTACAAAGAGCAATAATAAACGGCCGATTACCAGTTACCGCTGGGATCATCTTCGTAATTTTTCTTGGCCCGTGGTGGGGTGACTATTTTTTTTTCTTTCGGCGCTCATTGCAAGCACGTCAGACTCATTAGGCTGTCTTATCTATTCAAACGCCAGCAAATGTGTATGAAGTATTGAGTAGCATGGTTAACAGCGAGCAAATGTCCATCACGGTCAAGGCATACGATTCGCCTCTATAAACACCGCTCACGTTGTCGGAAAGGAAATCCCATATATCAACACGCAGTTTGGTGGTTTTGCCAAGGAAGCGTAATATGAATTAGGGTATTGTAATACGCAGATGGATGAATAGACGCGAGAGCGCTGGCCGTGTATGTGGAAACGGGCTGCACACAAAACAAGCGATATGCACGCCACCTGCATGGCCGATGCGTGGCGCCTTTTATTAGGCCGCGTATTTTCATGCTAAGTTTACCAAGTGCGGCTCTTTTTTTCTTTCAATGTGCGATTACATCGTATAGCGAGGATGTACGTACGTCTAACTTTTTCCGGTGAAAAGTGAAGAATCTTGATCTGTCTACGGAAGGACTTACTCTGCTACTGCACTTACTATTAATTTCAGCATTCCTGTGAAACTGGCCTTTATGTGTCGCGTTACTTTTCAATGTGTTTGGTGCCCGCAGTACAACGCCCACATGGCCATTTTTTTCCAACATATATAAGGACCGTGCATCTTCATTTTTCATCAAGAACCATGAGCCCCCTTATATAATGGCCTCAAAACGTCTACATTATTCTTTGCTTTTTAAGCAAGTTTAACTTTTAATCTTTATTGCTGTTTCATTGTGTGTCGCGAGCCATTATTCCACCGAATGTAAAACGAGCAAAGAAGATTTCTGAAAGCACCGGTGAGTATAGTATGAAAGTTCTCTGAATGTTTTCAGCCTGAAACAGTATGTTTGGACGCACCAAGAACTTAGATAGAAATTAAGTAGATGTTTTTTTTTTAATTTTCTACTCTCCCGCCAAAATTCGCGATCTCGTCATTTCTGCACATTTCTCGTTATGGGAATCCACCAAGCTCTCTAGATTGACCACCTTCTTGTGGCGTCGTCTGATGGATTTACTCGTGGTATTCGCGTTGTATACAAAAGCATTCGATCTGTCGCGAATACCCCCTTGTATTCTTGTTGATGTGGAGAATCCGTGTTGTTGAGAATACTCACTCGTATTCGTGTCGTAGCGCGCGCGCGAGCTTTGTCAGACAACTAAAGGCCTGACCACACGTATCTGTCGCAGCGCGTTTGCGTGTGTCTTTCTGGCGCGGCGTTTAGCCCTCTCCCATATGGCGAAAGAGGGCGTGGCGCCGCGTCAGAAAAGACACACGCTCCCTCTCTCTCCGTAGGGAAAACGGCGTGGCGACGCGTCAAAAGAAACGCGCTGACGCGTTGCGACGGACGCGTCTGGTCGGGCCTTTTGGCATCTCGTCGTTTCCGACGCGCCGAGAACTGCGCATGCGGAAAGCTGACGGACGCATTAGAGAGTTTTAGTACTGCGTACGCTGCGTACGTGGCGGCATGCGTACGTAAGGACGCCACGTTCTGCGTAGTGCGCATGCGCAGACCGCCACGCGCACGTATCGCGTTACGTACGCAGCCACTACGTACGCACACTTGAGATGCGTGCGTGCGTGCGTGCGTACGCATGAGGTGATCGCGCAGCTCTCGAACAAGTTCGCGACAGCGCGAGACTTCGTTTTGCAAAATGGCGGCATCGAAGGCAAGCACCGACTGCCTCTGTAGCTTAAAATATGGCCATAATTTGGCTATAACTTAGAAGTGTGGCAACTTGGGCTAGTTGGTATGGCATGACGATAGTTATAGCAATAGTTATAGTTTTCGCGCTATAACTATCGTCTGGCTATAACACTTGGATTGGCTCACATTGGCTGTCAACAACACGTGCTTCTATTTTGATCTACCAGATGGCGCAACACGCTTCACGCTCGTTACGTACGCGGGTACTACGGCGTACTAAAAGTCGATTAGTGGCAAACGACGCCACGTAACGCAAGGCGCTTGCGTGATGCGTACGTAGCACCATTCCGCAGTACTAAAACTCTCTATTGTGTCGCGTCTTTTTGTCTTCCAGGCGCCACGACGCACCCGGTGAACGGAGCACTCCCGTCCCCGACCGTGACCAGTTTCACAGTGGCTCAGGCGAATGGACAGGCGGGTGAAGTCTACACTAACGGCATGCCTCACTATCCATGTAAGCATCCGCGCGTTGCCTCGACGAGTTGATCACGGTACAATAGCCGGCTCTTTGGAGTTAGAGTGTAACCGAAGGAGAAAAAATGTAACTGAATTGTGCGGTTCTGATATCAGGCGCCACAATGGCAGTGCTCCAAATTGATTTTGACTACCCGAGATTGTGTGTTTCTCCCATTCTCTCCCTCCAAATCCAGCAAGTGTGGATCGCAGTCGAACCCACGCCCCCGAACTTAGCAGCGCGACATCTCAAACACTAAGCTGTCACTACCAGTGAGTAACTGTAAGACGCGAGAAATTACTTTTACAGAAGTACGAATATTTTTTCGCGTGCCTTCTTTGGCACGCAAAAAAAAAAAAAACTTACAACCGTCGAACACTTCGTTCAGTCATTCTCCTGCTGTATGTGATACGGCACCATATCCTTTTCGTTAAGTAAACTTCACAATTACGGCAGTCGGGATCATGAATTAGCCTATAAGCTAAGAAAGCGGAACGTTCGACTGCACATCTATCGCTAAAGATATTCCCGCTCGTGCTGGTTGCACCTGCCATGCTTTACCGCCATGCTTGAGCCTGCCATGCTTTACCAATTCTTGCCTTTATATTTATACCACGTTAGTACATATTCACTATTTTTTGTTTGCTTGTTTGTTTACTTGTTTGCAGTGCATTCCGGGCCTCCCGACGCCGTTCGAGTCATTCTACAAGAATTGCCCAGCCATCTTCATACAGAAGGTAGGTCACTTTGCGATTCACTGTTCTGTGGTGGGCGACTTCGCTTTTTTTTATCGCTCCGCGAGTCTTTTTGACGCAGACACCGGCAATAACGGTTAATTAAGATAACGAAACAATGTCAACAAGCTAAGCGAAATCCGCTGAACCTATAGTTTGCGTATATTTATATATTATATTGTATAAGTTATAGTTATATCTTTCACCTTCGAAATAAAGCAGTTTGCGCGTTCATTAATGTTATGGAAACCTAAGTACGCCGGCTCAACATGTTATAGTAAAGTCATACCGAGCTGCCAGCGATATCTTACCAACCAACCCCCTCGAGCGGTTATTGTCAGAATTCACAATGCAACGGGAAAGTAGTTCACAATAATGAATAAGAAAGCATTACTCAAAAGCTTTTTATCGCCACCATTTAGTGTGCTGGAGGTTACTGAGTACATACATACATACATACATACATACATACATACATACATACATACATACATACATACATACATACATACATACATACATACATACATACATACATACATACATACATACATACATACATACATGCATGCATGCATGCATACATACATACGTAAATACGTACGTACGTACGTACATGCATACATACATACATACATACATACATAACATACATACATACATACATACTACATACATACATACATACATACATACATACATACATACATACATACATACATACATACATACATACATACATACATACATACATACATACATACATACATACATACATACATACATACATACATACATACATACATACATACATACATACATACACACTCACACACACACACGCACCCATGGCTTCTTACATACTTTCGAAATCTTCCTTTTCCACGATGCCGTGGTGCATGCACCCTTCCCTGGCAGAAATGCAAATGCCGCGAAACTACTCCTGGTCTCGGAGGCATTCGTTCTAGCAATGCCAGTTCTCCCGACCCCTATCAAAGCCTACCAAAACGTTACATTGTATACCGCAGGAAAATGGAAAAGGTGGATTGCGGCCGTCCTTCGATGTTCGGGGGGATGTTGTGTGAATATATAATCTGAATATGGATGAAAGGAAAGGAACTGTTGACTGGCTGTGGTTTGTTAACGAGTATTATTAACATTCAAGTTCAATTACTACAACTGCGACGCAGAAAAACGTGGCACACGAGGGCAACAAGGAACATCGTCTTTCGCTGCGGCGTGATTTTACTCCTTCGTCACGCGCCAACTGTAGAGAAGCGAAATGTCTCATTAAATTTACGCGCTGGTGGGTTGTTGCATTTCCGTTCCATTTAAATGCTGTGCGAATTGTGGTGGCCGCGATGGAACCGGTGGCCTATTGCTCTAGTGGAATGACATCATCATTTGTCTGCTATAAGTAGGAAGGAAAAAAATTGTAGGTGGTCTGTGCGATGGCCGTGAACCTTGTTTCCTGGTAGCATTGGGACACACCGCTTCCCGTGAAGCTCGGGACACAGATTCGCCGCCGTTGTCGCTGGGATGTTTCGTATATGCTGTAATGTGAACTTAGGGGTGGAACGAGGGATTGCGCTTACGGGGACCGCCTCGACCATCATGGGCGATGACATTGAGGGGAGTGGGCCGTTGGTTTGGAGAAGAAATACAAGTACCGCTTTCTAGTTTATAACATCTTGCATCTTTTCATCATCAGCTACAAGTACCACCATCTAGTAAACACTACAAGAACTAAACGAGAGGTGGCTACATACAGGAGACGGTACCGCCATCTAGTGAACACTGCAAGAACTAAACTAGAGGTGGCTACATACAGGGGACGGTACCGCCATCTAGTGTACACTGCAAGAACTAAACTAGAGGTGGCTACATACAGGCTACAGGGGACGCACAGCCCACGCCCTAAGGAGCTTCGCCCCTAAAAAAAAAAGGACTAGGCACGCGCCGGAGCGTTGGAGAGAGACAAGTGCGCTTTATAGGAGTATTTTAACCGTGCGTCTCCTCCTCTCGTTAGTGTGCTGGACGCATGGTATGGTCGTAATACGCGGCGTTGGCTGCAAAGGCTGATCGTTTCGTATGCTCCGCCTTATCGCTGTCTACTTGGAGATCACATTATCGCGGCGAAGCGATGAAACGACGTGTTGCGTTTGTCCGCCTCTATCATCGCGGTTAATTGTGCGAACGTATCGTGAGTTTATTGTTTGCAGCCGGCGATGAGTTTGATCTACCTGCGTGTGTGTGTGTAGCACTTTGCGCTCGTTTAGTTTCATCAGTAAGCAAACACTTACCGCAACTTCAGTGGCGCTGCAGGTCTTACACAATATTCGGGTTGGTTCTTCGTGCACGTATACATTAATTCACAGAAAACAACGCAGTTCATTGTAAAACGCGCGCGTAATGTTAAAGTTGTAGGCCTGGCTCACACATGTGTTCATTCGTTTTTCCAAGTTCAATTTTACCACAGCTATATTTTTTTTACACTGCAATAAAAAGTTACAGATGACTTCTCCCTGACTTTCCTTGGCTTTATTGTAGATTTTGGTTCTGGCTCCCAAAAATCTGGCTGACGATTTTCTTTACTGTGTTCCATTGCAATCTGATACCTAATAATACCCTTCACTGTCGAAATGTTGCACATGTTTTTTTTTTTTTTTTAGGCAAACGTTTGGTGCTGTTTGTTGACCTCGCATAAGCAAACCGGGAAGAATTAAACATAAATAACAAACGTGATTCCAGCGCGTGTCTCCCAGCATGGCGTTCGCATGAGCGCTTATTACTCGGTTCCGCGTGTGCCGCTAGAGCCCGGGAGTCGGACCCGCGCGGCTCCCGTGCCAGTTTCGTTGTCTGAGATGCCCGTTGTCCCGCGCTCGCAGCCCAGGCAGTTCCGAACGGCGATGCCCTCCAGCCCGCGGCCTACCCGGCGCTGCAGCCCTTCGCCGGCATCCGTGAGTCGCTCTTTTATGCTACGCACTAAAGTTCCCCATCCCCCCCTTCAATTGGCCCGCGAAAAAAGATGTTCAGGCAAAAAGTACCTTATAGCACTTTGTGCGAGTTAGACCGCAAGCTCGTTTCAGCTTTGTTGCGAGCCCGTTCCAAAACTTCGTAAACCGATTGAAACTGTAGTGTGCGGCTTAGAAGTGTGGCAGCTTGGGCTAGTTGGTATGGCATGACGATAGTTATAGCGCGAGAACAAAACGACGACACGGAGACACAGAGACGACACAGTGTCTTTCGTGTCCTTCTTGTCTCTGTGTCGTCGTTTTGTTCTCGCGCTATAACTATCGTTAGCATGCGGCACTGTATCTGTAGTCATCGCCATCACCGAGTACTCGCGAAGGTCCATCGAGGATTGAGCGATCGCTCGATAACTATTATTTAATAATAATAATAATTGTTCAGGTTTATCAACCCAAAACCACCGTGCGATCGTGAGAGATGTCGTAGTGGAGGGCTCCAGAAATTTCGACCACCTGGCGTTCTTTGAGGTGCACTAAATCTAAGCACACGGGCCTCAAGCATTTTATTCTCTATCGAAAATACGGCCGCCGCGGCCGGGATTCGATTTCGCGTGGATTTCAAATAAGCATGCAGCCGAGTGTCTTAGCCTCTAGACCACCGTGGCGGTACACCACTGCAGAGTTGCAGTATACGTTATGGATGCGCATATTTCCTTGCGATCTTCACTGGAATAGACTGTTGGAACGGTTGGTTTTCAATTATCAATACTTTGACATCGTGCAAAGTGACTCGATACAAAAGAACAATGTGAATCGATACAAAAGCGACTTGATACAAAAGCGACTCGATACAAAAGAACAGTGCAAACAAGGACAAGGGTAGATAGCGTCTCTACTTTGCTATGACAGTACGGGTGCAATTAGCTCACGCCCTGAGCGTCTTCTTCATTTGTATCAGATTAGATTGCGCTTAATCGTCACAGCGATCATTTCTCGACATCAAGAGTCGGACGTTAGTGCACGACATGTTCTCAATACTTCTTGCGATACGCGATAGTCGTTTTTTTTCCTCGCTACCAGCGTCGCTAGCATCAAATTGATCATTTCTCACGATTACCTGATGATATATCAGAACTATGCCAAAATATCATTCGTACCTATTTTTTGTATTTTCACCTAGTCACGGAAAACGGGTAGAGCACACGGTACACACGGGCTTTCAAAAAACAATTGCTAGTAAATGAGAATGACGCAAAGGCGTGAAAGTCCTCCAGACAAGCGTCTGGTTCGCTACCCCACCCTGGTAGAAAGAATGAAAGACTTGAAAGACATTTTTTAATATGAGGGAAGAAAGTGTCAGCTCTATTACCAGCCTGCAAGCGATCGCTTAACCGAGTCTATCTTTAAAACAATATCGATGACCACGTCGCTTTTTATAAATAACCCGCGACACATAGAGCCATGATTCGAGCATATTTTTCCCTGAAAATGGTCTATTGTCTATAGTTTGTTCAGCGTGTTGCGTAGAACTTTGCATTCGATTACAGAGCTCTATCACAGAAACACAATAGAGATTCCATCGTTGTATGACTACGGCGCGAGTCGCAGCAGGAGGTGCCTGCCATTCCTACATGCGAAAAAGAGGGCGCCTTCGTGAAAGCTATACTCCTAACACAATGTGCGTTTCGTCTACTCGATGACCGTCACAGTAAATGTATAATACGCTAAACCACGATTATTAACCGTGTTTGAAATTTAGCCAGTGTGACTGCAAAATCAGCTGCTCGATGAAAATCGTCACCTTCACTTAATTTTTTTTAATGCTCAGGAAGTGTCATATTTCGTAGTCTCTTCTTACCTTGCCTTAGAGAACTCGCTTGTTGCTGATGGGCTCAACCGCGCTTACCTGGAGTCTGCTGTGATCGTTATTGTGTGATGCACGCTAGTAGTATATGGACCGCTGCACAGAAATGTACCCTTCGAGAGGTTTTTATATGCCACCAGGATTATGTATATATATATATATATATA